TGCTCTGCCCAGTGACTGGGATCTCACAGGGCAACCAATACAGATTCATGAGGAAGGGGGAGGTCTGAAGGGGTCTCTGGAGAGGGCAAAGGGGACAGGAGGTCATGGAAGTGTGAGTGCTTTGTCCCCTGGTCAATCATGGGGATAGACCCATGAGTTCTTGCCCAGAAGGGAGGCTCCTCTGTGGCCCACAACTGCTGCAGCTTGCTGTACTCGTCCTCCATCACAGCGAGGATGTGGGTCCATGCCGGCCTCACCCTGGCTTTCATTTGATTAGCCCTGGAGGGACAGCCCAGGGGATTAGGAACAGGAGTGGCAGCTTGCAAGCAGGGAAGGGGGATGGGAGCCTTGGAAAGTGAGGACTTGTGTATCACTGACCCTGTTATGATTTCACCTCCTGTGATTAGAATAGAAGCAATCACACATGCAGACACACACACACACACACACGTGTGCACACACCCCACCCCGCAAGTTGGGTCAGGTGATTGGGGACAGGCTCTATGAATGGGTGAAGGCAAGGCCCAACTTCCCTCAAGGTCACCAGGCCTCCTCTGGGGCGTGTCCTCCACCCCCACTACCTCTGAGCTGGCACCAGGCCTGCCCACCCGCCTGGGACCTGCCAGATCACGTTGAGCAACCGGTTCCTGAGAAGCGAGGAAGGCTGTTTGGTTTAAAATTAACTCCCCCGCTCCCCTCCCTCCTGCGGCCTCCTCTGAGTTCTTGGAAGAGGCGCTCAGCTCTTCCTGGGAAGAGGCCTCCAGCCGCAGCTGCTGCGATTCTGGTGAAAACACCTCACCGAGGGTGGGGCGCCTTCCTGTCCTCTGCCAGGATCCCCTGGCACCCCAGGTTACTTAGACCCAGCACAGAAAGGAGGTGATCATCCACATGCTGCAAGGTGGGACCATTTCCCCACCTACCCACCCACTCCTTGGGGCCCCACAACTCAATAGCAGCACCAGCAGCTTAGAGACCCCACCTGGGTACCTCTCAGGTAGGAGAGGGAACCAATCCCCTCACAGGAAAGCCAGAATCTTGGCCTATTCTGGTGGCTTAGAGAGAGAAGGCAACTTGCCCTGGTTTCCCCAGCTTTATCTGCCCATGCCCACCCTGACCACCCATGAGGTATCAGACTGACAAGAACAACATGGCAAGGAGGCCTGGGGCACACACTGAAGACCCGCACATGCCAGGGTCAGGGTGCTGTCTGCCAGAGGTCCTATCTTCCCTGTCACTCTGGCCCCCCAACTGGCCTCGGGCCCCATCTCCTGGAGGAGCCTGCCATCTCTGAGCTGTGGGGACCAACTCACTGAGAACCCCTTTTCCTAAAAGCATTTCCTAGCATGTCCCCTGGAAGAAGCTGAGAAAAACAGGAACGGTGGCCGAGTGGAAAGGTTAACACATGTATGCACACGCAGGTGTACACACACACGGTGATGTCTATTTGGAGACAGGGCTGATGGGAAGGGGGAGCTGAGAAGTGCTCCTTTGGCGGAGGCTGAAGGTAAGAAACACTTGTTGGGGTGGAGCCCCGCTCTGGCAGCAGGTGTGGGGATGGTTCCCAGAGCAGGGCTCTACCCCTGGAGACATTAGCCTCATACCATTCCCCTTCTGGCTACACCATCAGGGTGTCATCAGTGCCAGTGTATTCAGTGGCAGTGGGGACTGTGTGCTTGGGATGGTCCTGGAGGACTGCCTAGAGTTGTGGCAGCTACAAATTCCCTCAGTTCTCTACAGGTACCCCATTCTGGGCCCTATATATTTCTGCCTGGTTCTGGTCATGGGAACAATTGTTTTCACTGAGCAGGTCTGGTCAATCCAAGGTTCCCCTGCTCACAGAAGAGTGGCAGCCTCCATTCTGCATCCCCTGAAGCCAGGCCCAGGCACCTTCCAACTACCCTGTGGCCCACATTCTGGCCAGCATGCAGCCTCCAGGGACCTGCCCTTCCTGTCTCTTGCTCACAGACAAGGGAGCGAACCCCATGGAGTAATCACTGCTGTGTGGCCAGACCTGCTGGGAGACTGTTAAATTTCTGGTGCAGTCCCAAATCTGCTTTGTATAGAAACTGGTGCAACAGGTTGGGGTGAAAGAGCTGCCAAGGCCTGTCCAGGCCCTGCCTCTCCTGGAGCATGAGAGCCTTTGGGAGGTCCCTGAGGCCTAGAGGTCCCTTGTCCTGGCACTCAATTGCCTGTGGGCAGCTGCTCAGGGTGGGTGGGTGTGGGCTGTGGTATTAGTGTGGAGCCAGCCCAACCATGGTCGGCAGCCTTGGCCTGGCATGATTTGCTGTGTGCAGTGATGGGGACGTAGGCCCCTCAGTGGTCACAGGCCAGCATCCCCACCAGTGACTGGCCAGTAAAACCCTCCAGCGAGGAAAAACCTGGTGATATCTCTGCCCCTAAGGACAACAGATGAAGGCTCCCTCCTCCAGAAAGCCTCCCTTCCACCTCCCCTCCCAATATTTGGTTGTGCTGTGCTGTGCCAAGGCATTTGCAAGTCAGACTCTGGCAGGCAGGGTGAGTGGTGGTTACACAAACAAGATCTGGAATTGAGGTGTGAATCCCGGCTCTGCCTCTTACGAGCTGTGTGACTGAGCAAGCTGCCACCTCTCTGAACCTCACACTCATCTTTAAACGGACACAAGCTCTACCAGGGCCCCAAATCTGCCTCCCTTAGCTTCTCCTACTCCCTGCCACATGCCCCTCCAAATCCCATATCTTGCAACTTTTCTGACTGTCTGCTCCCAAGCCTTCATGTAGCCATTCCCACCAGCTGACCCAGTTGTCCCTTAGAAATGGGTGTCAGGTCACTGCCCTCCCTGGCTAAACTCTGCAGGGGTGCCCCCACCCTGCCCACCCATCCTGAGCAGCTACTGTGGACAGACGTACTGGTGGTCAGCTTCAGCTGGGTCCCTTTCCCAAGATACCTTCTCGGCTGTTCCTGCCCTTTGCCCAGGTCCCCTGGCTCAGCGCCATCTGCTCCAGGGCTTGCTCCACCCCCTGCTTTACTTATCCATTGCACTCAGTTTGTCTCCTTTGTTAACTTGTTTTTTTTTGTTTGTTTGTTTTTGGTTTTGGTTTTTTTCTTTTGCTAACTTGTCTTGTACTGGCTTGAGCTCTGTGAGGATGGAGACCCTGTCTGCCCTGTTCCCCTGACGCAGTCCCCAGGGCCCAAATGGTGTTTGAGGAACATGGTCAAGGGTCACCATCCATTATGGATCCCATGTGCTGACCAGAGTACTGGCAGGGGGTGCCCTTGTACTAGCCAGGAATCCCTTGTACTAGGGATGAACGTGTTGGCCAGAGGATTGTTACCTGTTAGGCTGGGTCTTGGCTCTGATTACACACCTGCTACCGTCCATGACCTAGCTAGGTATCACTTAACTCCCTCAGGAGGAAACACAAAAATTGAACTGGGAGAATGCCAACAGTCAGATGTAGCTGGCAGCGTCTCTCTAGGAAAGAGCTGGGCCCTGGACTTGAACTAGAGTAGAAGTGAGGGCCAGGACCCTGCTGACCAGGCCAGTGTCCACAGAGCTCTCAGTAGGCAGGGAGAGGACAAGGAAAAGCCATACCTCGCCTGAGGTCATCCTGCTCCTTCCAGTTCCTTATAAGGTCCCAGAGGCAGGCAGGCAGTCAGAAACAGGATGAGCTCTGCTCTATGTCCTACTTAACTGCATGACCTCAACCAGCCTGTTGCCCCCTCTGAGCCTCAGTTCCTTATGGGGTGTGGATAGGATTTGGACCCCACACTCAGGGTGTGGTGCATGTTTCTGACATTTTCCCTGTGGACAGTGAAGCATCTCTTTGCTTCCTGTGGCCATGGCAATTTTCTGGCCTGGACATAGCACCAGGTGGGGACAGCCTGCCTCTGGCCCTTCTGTGTCCACTCTCTGGCCACTAAAACACTTAGATTTGGGGGTGGAGCAGACAGAGGTGTCACCTCAGGGAGCCACAAAGGGGCTGAGCTCCAAGATGAAGGTATGAGGAACTGTAGACAGCCCTGGCAGGGCCATGGTGACCTGAGGCAACAGACCGTCGGGCCCCACAACCAGCCAAGAACCCAAACTACCACCAGCACCAGGGACGGTGCCAGGCCAGACATCTTGGCCAGGAAGGGCAGCCCTCCCTTGCTCACCTCTTGCTCTAACCACACTGTTCCCATTCTTTCCCACCACCATCCCTGTGGCCCTAGGGCCTAGGCTCCTACAGTCCTGCCTACTCCTCATCACCAGAACAACACTCAGCCCTTTCTGCTGTCAACCTACCAGCAGCTGCTGTTTCTCATCTACAGCTTCAAGTATCCCAGAGCTCAGGAAACAGCACGGTTGGAAGTGTTTCTGAAATAAGGGCGACAGGACTGTGAGTCTGGCTCAGAGGTCCTTGCTACAAAAGTGCAGAACATTTCAGGCCTTAAGAGAGAGGGTTCTGTACACAATCACTCCTCTGCCCACTCCTGGGGTACAGGATCCTGAGTGAAAGAACAAGGTCCCCCTGCTACAACTTTACCCATGACTAGTCCCTGTGAGCTGCTCCATCTGGCCACCATCTCAGCTGTTCTTTTGCACAGAATCAGCTCTCCCCCTGCCTCCTGGCGTCAGGAATCCGAGCTTCCCAGTCAGGTCTCAGCACCTTCCCCATAGTAGGACAGGTCCTGGCGTGGCTGCTGACTTCCTCAAAACTACCCCAGGAGTGGACCACAGCACCTTCCCTGCTGACAACATGAATTGGCATTTCCTGTTCACACTCCTGTGTCACCCCACCCCCAACTGGCTTTCACCCTCTGCCTCCAGCTTCCCAGGAGAACAAGGAGAAATAAGAGAAAGGCTGCTCCTGCCCTCACCATCCCCCATGCCCCAGCTCCTCAGAGCCCCTCAGCAGTGACTGCTCAGCCACTTTAAGTCTCTGGGCCTGGGCTAGCTCCAATGTAAAATGGGGTCAAGATAATAGGATCAAAGGGAAGAGCCATGGACAGAACTCCAGAGAGGTCCCAGTGAGGGCTCTGTAAATGAAAGGTACAATTTTATTGTCATTACCAGAAAAAACAGTGGAAGAAAAAAGATCACCAAACTCTGTTTTTGTTATGATCATTATTTTATAAAGTCTTATTAGATATGTATCTCTCTCTCTTCTCCCATGCAGGCAACTTCCTGGGCATGACAGGCTCAGCAGTGCAGCCCTCCAACTGGCACCCCTTTCCTGAATCAACCCACATACTGCACATGGCCTGTGCCACAGGAGACCAGCTCTGTGCAGATGGGGCTCTGGCTTCATTTCCTGTGCTCCCACCCTCGCAACATGGGGCTGGAGCAGGGGGGCGAGGGCAATTCACAGGTGATTCAGTGCCACGCCACTTAGGGCACATCCCAGGAAGTGGCTGTCGGCAGGGAAGAGCTGGGAAGCTGGCATAGAGGTGGGTTCTCTGGACCACCTAGGGCTTGGGGCAGAGAGGTAGGGTGGCCCAACCCTGAGGCCAACCTCATGGAGAATAAATAAATAAATATTCTTGAACTGTACAGCCCCAGCCTGGCATGCTTTTCTGCAAGATTTTCATTGCTATCACCCTCCCAGAACCAGAGTCTGGAGGTAGGTAGGGGCCTGCCCCAGCCTGTGGGCTGAGAAACCAGGGCTGGGCAAGTCTACACAGTTCAGCTGGCTGGGACAGGCCAGTGTGCAGAGGCCTAGACCCAATCCACAGGGTGAGACAGGTCCTGCCTGCCTCTCTCCTCTGATACAAGGCTCACCACAATGGAGCCACATGGGGCCTGGGAATACTGGCCTCCAAGTTGTGTGACAGCTCCCCCCCAGCCCTGTCCCCATCTTGCTCTTGCTGGCTCTTCTTGGTTTAGCTGCCAAGTGCATGCAGGCACCAGGAGGACAGGAGGGACAGCAGGAGCTTGAGACCAGCTGGAGGTATCCCCTGCAGTGTGTGGCTGGGCAGGTGCAGGCTTAGTCAGAGTCGGAAGGGGTACTGTCGGAGGTAGTCAGCCATGCGCCGGGGCAGGGGTAGGCAGTCCACATCGGTCACCAGACGGTTGATGACGAGGCGGCAGAGGTGCTGCAGACTGCGGGCACTGCTTCTGCGCACAAAGGGCTGCACCAGTTTTAGGTGCACAGCTGTGGTCACAGGGGTTGGCGGCACGGAGTCACCAGGGGCATCTTCTTTAGGGACAGGCAGGGCTGGGTTAGGAGCAGGATCAGGGCTGTCGCTTCTTGTGTCAGCAGCACATGAGGCCACATAGTGCTGCACAAGGCTGACGACGTCTGGAAAGGCCAGGATGCGGGGTCGGGACAAACAGTTGGAGTCCAGGCGGAAGCTGGAGTCAGCATACTCAATGCGCACATTGGTGGGGCCGCGGGTGGTTTTGACCGACAGCGTGAACAAGTAACTGGGGTGGGTGCTGTCTCTTACTAGGAATGTGCCCTCTGGCATCTTCTGCAGGTGTTGCCGGGCCTCACTGGCCGTAATGGAACCCCAATACCATCCTGGGCAAGTGGAGAGGAGACCAAGGGCTGGTCACAGGAGAAATTGGCTGACGCACCAACCCAGGGCACGTTAGGACCATGCCTCCTCCTTTACACTTCCCCGCAGAGGACTTTATCTCTCCCAGAAGACTGTCCTGGGTAGGATCGTGTTTCCCCAGGCAGACTAAACAGTCAAAGCTGAATACCCTCCAGCAGCCCTCCCAGGACTGGCCTGCCTCCTTGGCAACTCACCAGATTCACGAAGGTAGGAGAAGGTCTTGGCTATGCACATCAGATCTTCCTCAGGGTCCAGCACCTTTGGTTCACTCTCCGCCTGGGCTGTGGAGTCCTCTGCCACCTCCTCTAGAAAGGCCCCAGCAGGTAAGGGTTGCATGGCTAGCTCGGGCAGCTCCAGGGACTGGGTCCAAAGGGGCCGCTGCCCAATCTGCTCCACAGTCAGCAAAGGACAAGATCTACAAAGGAATAGGCAGGCAGTGAGCAGGGAGCCTGTGTTTCCCCTAGTCCAGAGATTCCCAGTGCTGCGGTAGCCTCTGTTGGCGCTTCTCACCATGGGCCCCAGTTTTCCTAACCGGCCATCGTGAACGGCAGCGATCCTCTTGATGATTTTCTTGTGAAAGTCATTATCTCCCTATATTTGGTCCCAACTTAGACAATACCTCATTCCCTACAGGTACTTTCAGTGCCCTCATCACACCAATGGAGATCATGCAAAGTAGCCTCGCATCTGCCCTCCTGGGTTAGCGGGCGCCGATTAAATGGTACCAGTGCATTTAATGGCCCTAAGATGACAGCAAGAGGCCTGAGGGCTTAGTGGCCCCAGCATCCTCTACCTTACAGGTACAGCTCCCTGCCGGACTTCTGCTTGTCCCAGCAGAGGGCTCTGGGTGGGACAGTGCCCTCAAAAGGGACTGCCATGTGTCACCTCCCATAAATATGAGTGAGCCCTCTCCAAGGGGCAGGATGCTCAGCTCTTGCTCCAGCCCCATCAAGGCTCCATGGCCTTGCACACAGCTTGTTCCTGACCATACACTTCCCCGGCCCACCAGCCCAGGCATGCAAGGACACACATCCTCAGATGGCTGCTTTGGGAAATGGAGCTGGTCAAAATTGAAGCAGAAGACTCCTCTTCAAGGAAGCCCACTAAGCACAGTGACCAGAGATGGGCCCCACTTCCTGAGAGACATACATTCCAGTCCTGGTCTAGCCCCTGCTGGGCCTCAGGACACGCAGATAATGGATCCATGCGCCCCGTCCCCAAGGAGAAACAGACTGGCTAGGGGAGTTATGCACTGAGCATAATACAACCCTAGGCTATGAAAGCACAGGTTGGGCTCAGGGTTTGCTCATTCGCAGCCAGGGGAAGCTTTGCAGCCATAGAGGATAGCACGGACAAATAAATAGGACTGCCCATGGGCCAGGAGGTAGGTAGAGGAGTCAGACATGGCTGTGGACATTACAGGTGACCCTTAGAAAGTTCTAACAAGGGCCCGGCATGGTAGCCTAGTGGCTAAAGTCCTAGCCTTGCACATGCCGGGATCCTATATGGGCACCAGTTCTAATCCTGGCGGCCCTGTTTCCCATCCAGCTACCTGCTTGTGGCCTGGAAAAGCAGTTAAGGATGGCCCAAAGCTTTGGGACCCTGAGCCTGCGAGGGAGACCCAGAAGAGGCCCCTGGCTTCAGCTCAGCTCAGCTCTGGCCCTTGTGGCCACTTGGGGAGTAAGTCATCAGACAGAAGATCTTCCTCTCTGTCTCTCCTCCTCTTTGTATATCTGACTTTCCAATAAAAAAAATAAATCTTTAAAAAAATGTTCTAACAAATCACAGCTCTGTAATCACACCCAGGAAGGAGGGGTCTGAGGTTTCTAGCCGGTATAGCCTGCCAAATGCCAAGCACTTTTCCATGCCTGTTCTGGCTGCACTGAGAGCTCTGGAATATTGCTCAGGGGCCCAGAGGCTGGATTTCCAACCACTTATTTGAGAGGCAAACAGAAACAAGGAGGGAAAAAGACAGTCCGTCTGTTGGCTCACTCCTCAAACGCTCACAACAGCCGGGGCTGGGCCAGGGCCAGGGCCGGAAGACAGGAACACCATTCAGGTCTCTCATGGGGGAGGAGGAATCTAGCTACTCGGTCAACACCACCGTTGCCTCCCAAGGTTCGTAACAGGAGGAAGCAGGAAGCAGGTGCCACAGCTGTGGATCAAACCCAAGAACTCTGATGTACAATGTGGGCATCTCAATTGGTATGTCAATTACAAGGCTAAACAATGGTCCTGGAGGCCAAGTTTAAGGTGACCCACCTACTGGGGTCCAGGGTTTGGCCTGGGATTGCCATGATTTGGGAACAAGGCAGATGGCTAACTACTCAGGCCAGAATCTCTGGGGGTAGCCACGTCCAGATACCTCAGCAGGGCCCTCATAAAGGTCTCGTGTGAGGGTGGGAAGCTTGGGAGCTGGTGTGTTGTTTGGGTGTGTTCATGGCTGTGTCATCATCAAGGAGGGGGCAGGGCTGGTGTGTTCTAGGTACATGTGTGTGCCTACTGTGGAGTCCAATCAGTTGAGTCCTGCCTAGGGACACACATGCCAGTAGGGTGAACCCCGCCTGGGGCTAGGGGGATCCCCAGCCACACTGGCAATCCTACTTTCCATCCCTAGCTGCCCCACCCCCCAGCTAGGGGTAAGGGAAGGAAGCATGCGACCTTAGGATAGGGCTGGGTAGGGGCCTTCCTAAGAAGGAAGCCAGTGGCTGGGGGTAGTGTTCAGGAACCCCAAAGTTCAGAGAGCAGGTTAGGAACACGGGCCACAGCCAGGGAAAAGCAATAATTTCCCAGCATCTCCACGCCTCTTCCCTGGAATGAGAACTGCTCAGAGCAAGGGGCACTTCAGGCTGGTGCCACCTCCCACTCATACTTGGTAGCATGCCAGTTCTGATAAGAGCAGTCACTGGGTCACTCAGCTCTCCCTGGTTGTAGGACACCCACTGGCTCTGCCTCTCCTTCAAATCTCCTGAGCTCAGTGTGGCGAGCATCCAGCCCTGTGGCTGAAAGGGATGTTGAGACTCTTGGCAGATGGGGTGTGAAGAGAGCCCAAATCAGGCTAAGACTCTGTCTTAACCACCAGCACCCCTTCTGGAGCTCCCCCACCCCAAATATTTGTGAAACTTCAAGAGGGGAGACAAGTTCCAAGGTCCTTCTCCCATTAGGATCCCAAACTGGGCAGAGAGGAGGGGTGAGGCAATTGTGCGTGCCTCAGGCAGACCAAGTCAAACACAGGTTTTCCAAAGAGCACTGGTTCTCACATGCTGACTCCCCAAGAGCTGCTGGTCTGGGACACAGAGGAGACACCTGGCATTGGAGGCAGGGGCTGGCCAAAGGTCACCAATGGCAGGCAGGGCTGACGGCAGACTGGAGCAGGGCGCTCTGGGCCCAGCTCTGGGGAGCCACTTTTGGGGGGTTACAGAACCCCGTCTGGCGGCCAGCTCTCTCGATTCCCCACAACTGTGTGAGCAGAAGGGGGTGGGAAAGGGGTCACGACCCCCACAGCACCGGGCTCCCTCGGTCTCCCACCCAGTCTCGCCCTTCCGATGTCCCGCAGCTGGCTCTGGCCGGCGCTCTCCCGCGGCCCCGCGCTCACCCCTCAACGCAGAGGACCATATCCCGGCGGCGGTGGCGGAGCAGCGGCTCGGGGTGGCGGCTTCGCGGGACGGCAGCGCGGGCGGGAGTCGGCGGGGAAGCTCCGGGGTCGACGGCGGCGGGCCCGTGACTGAGCGGCCAGGGGCGGACGATCAGGGAGGGCTTCGGGGCGGGCCGCGCGGCGGGGCGGGGCGAGCCGCCTTCTAATCTTTTGTCCTCGGTGTCCCAGCCCTTCCCGGAAGCGCCGTCATCCTAGAACCGCAGGCCGAGCGGTGGGGCTGGGCAGATAGGCGGAGGGTGCAGAGGGGGAGCCGACACTGGCGTCCGGGGGCCTCGCGCCGTGAAAGGAAATCCCTTTGACTAATTTCCAAGAACTTTCCAGGAAAACGGGGAGGGACCCCGAGAAACGACCAATCACAGTGCAAGGGCGGAACCGAGAGGCTCGAACGAGCCAATTGTAGCTCGCAGACCTGGGACTGACGCAAAAGGGGGCGGGACCGGGGAGCGTAGGAAAGGCCCGGGTCGGGGAGGCTGAGGCCGAGGCTGTGGTCCTCCGACCCCGCTTTCCGCTTCCTGGGGGTTGGGTCCGCTTATCTCACCGTGTAACCAGGGCTAGCACTGGGCGGGGTCTTGGGATTGTGTTCCGTTCTGGCACCAATTTCCTGTTGATCTGTGGAGTTGGGCCGCGTCTATAACCGGGCAGGGTGTGTGTGTGTATTAGGGGTGGTGGGCGGCCTAGTGACGGTGTTTGGAAAATGACGCAGAGGGGGCAGCGGGCTGAACGCGGTAGCCCCAAGAATCCAGCTGGGGGTCGAGCCTACGACTGGGAAGAACTGGTAAAAAGCGAAGGCAGTCCCCACCCTTCGGATCCTGCAGGGCTGTTCGCTTTGGCGGCCGCGCCAATAACAAATGTCAGGCAGGCTGGGATAGTGCCCCCCTCCCCAGCCCCGGCGGTCCTGTTTCCGGTTTGGTGAGTCACCAAAAATGCCGGGAGAGAAGCTCGGATCTCCTGGACTCTGGAGAGCAACTTGGAAGTGGGAGACGGGCAGGGGGTGGAGCCGGGCAGCTCCTGACCAGCCCAGCCGGAGGCCTGGGATTGTTTGATCCTTGACAGCTGGTAGGAGAGAAGGAGATCAAGGCCTGGTTCAAGTTCCCCCGCTAGTCCTGGGGAGATGAAATGCCTCGTCGAGGGAGGGCAGGGGAAGGGACAGGGCTTGGTCCCAGCTCAGACCTTGAACCCCTGCTCCTTTTTCTACTTCGCTGGGTGAGTATCTTAAGGGACTATAGGATTGGTGGAAGTTTCCTCCAAACTCTCAGGCCAAAAGGGTCGGGAAAGGATGGGATTTGGAGAGCGGCAGCTATAACCCTTGATCCGTAGTACTGAGGGCGTGCCCCCCAGGGCCCCTGCTGGGGAGAAGTGAGCTGTGATGTCCCCAGCAGGGAGGACAGCTTCCACCCCTTCCCCCACACCGCCGTGTTAGAGACCTGTACAATAGTGTCCTGGCTTCCCCTCAGAGCAGACAGGGCTTGTCTTGCTCTCCCAGGATGGGACAGAGGACAGATGAGACCTTGACACAAAGTCGTGTGAAAGGAGAATAAATAAAATAAAAGGTGAGAAGTCTCTAAGGAATCCATTTCAGTGTAACATTGCTGGAGGAAAGCTGACATAGGGTGGGATGGATTGCTCACTATTGACCCTGGAGTGCCTGGCATGGGGGTCCTTCCCCGACAGTGGTGCTGTCTACGGCACCACTACTGTGAAGGCAAAGGATCCCCCACACTGGTTGGGTCTTTATGGGACCAAGTCCCCAGCTCTCTGCCTCAAGACTCTGCCCTCCCCTCTCTGTGACTACTGAATCCACTTTCTATGCCAGCCCCCACAGCCATTTCTGGTCTCACTTCATTGTCCCGCTTGCCTCTCTTACAGGCATGGAGACAGAGGCTCAGGGAGATTACAGTGAGTCCATGGTCTCATGGCTAGTGAGCAGTGGGCTGCAGCTAAGGCCCCTACCTTCCATCTGCTTCCCCTCCAGGGGTCCCCTCTTAGGCATCCGTTAGTCCTCAGCGAAGCTTCCCCAGGCCCACGGTCAGTCAGTGTTGGGGTCCCAAAGGCTTCCTCTCCAGGGGTCAGTGTGTAACCCAAAGGGTGCTAAGGGATTGCCCCTTCCAACCAGATTTTGTGACCTGGACACTACACCTGCTTGCTGGGAGCAGTGAGGAGCCCCTCTCTTGCCCCAGCTGCCTGCCCTCCTCTGTCCTGTGTGTCAGTCTGGTCAACTTGTCACCTCTTCTGCCCAGCCTGCTTCCCACCAGCTCCCACTCTAACCGCTGTGCCTGCACTGCCACCTAGTGGCTCTGCCTCTCGTGGCCTCATACATTAAATCTTCCTGGATGGTCTTTTCCTGCCCAGATCATGGGCCCAGTGGGTCACAAGAACACATAGCAGTGCTTTCCTCAGAGTCTGTCTGGTTGGGGTCTCAATCCTACAGGTGCAGCTTCCCCCTTTTTCTGAAGGACAGCCCACATCTATGTAAGGGGGGATTCAGACTCTCTCACTCTGGCACTCATTCATCAGGGCCTTTGTCACTGTAAACTCTTCCAGAAGTCATGCTCTCTGTCCCTGTGGACACACGGTCATCCTGGAGACTCTGGTGGCATCTGCCACCGTGAACTCTCCCTTGTGCAGACCCAGTCATCCATACCCTGATTCTTCCAGCCACATAAAGGTGGCTGTGGCAGGGATTGCTGGAACATGGGCATGGGAGGGAAGCCACATCTGGCTATCACATGCTGCCAAACAACTGTGCATGAGGGACCTTGGGGTGGGGGGGAGAGAGGGGGAGAGCATCACCACTGTTTACCCTTTGCATTTCTGCATGATTTGGATTTATTACACTCTGCAAAAATGATCGATTTTTTTAGACCAGCTGTAATATGATTCTGTTTGAAAGGAAGAAGACCGCATCCCCAAGTGCACAACTCCCCCTACTAACTTGTTCCTGACTGGGAAAAGGAGCTCAGCTCCACCCTCAGGTTCCTGACTGCACCTGTGGAAGCCAGCCTTGGTGTTGCTGGGACCAACCAGTCCCGTCCAAAGGACAGAACCTTCTCTCCAGGCCCCCAGCAGGAAGGATGTCTGGATCACAGGGTTTCTCTGAGGGCCCCAGATCTTGAGTTGGATTGTCAAGTAAGGTGCCAGCTGGTCTTCACTGCAGGTGAGTGTGTGTGCACATGTGTGCCCATGGGGACATGTGTGTCTGCATATGTGCATGCATAAGACCATGCCTACATGTGTGTATATGTGTGTGGGGGCGGGGAGAGCTGGGACAAACTATTGTTTGAGGATACAAGCCTGAATCTGAGATTGTACTTTGGATTTGGAATGGGAATGTGTAGGGAAAACAGTTGACTTTGTGTCAGCTCATCCCCCCACCCCTGTCTCAGAGAGCATAGGCAGGGCTCACTGAATATGATAACTCTACGGTCACCTGACGGACACTGGGGCAGAGCCCTCAAGCCCTGACCTCCTTCAGCATCTGGGTGCAGTAGCCACCACCAATAATAACAGTGGTTCTTTATTCACTTCCTCATTCCCACGCTCAGGCACGCGGAATGTAGTTATGTGGGCAGAATGGCACCAGGTTCCTCCTTACATACAGCCGGGCCCAGGGTGTGCGTATGTTGCGGGGTGGAGGGTTTGCAGGGTTCCCGATTCTGAGGCTGGGGTTGCAGCTGTGGTGCCTGCAGTCCTGAGGATGGCCAGCAGATGGCGACAGAGGCCCGCGCAGAAACGCTGCCCGGTGCGCCTGGGGTTCTCAGCGTCCTGGTTGGGGATTGAGGCGGGAGATCACGCCTAGCTAGGCAGCCACGACCACGCTCTCTGTGGTTCTTAGACAAGTTGTAAACTGAGGGTTAGCCAGTGTTGAGGAAACCCGCTCCAGACAGGCTAGGTGTTTAAGGGAACTCTGAAGTGGACCGAAAACTTTGGTGCCACAGAGAAGTCTCTCACAGGGGAGGGAAGTGGAGGAGCAGTGCTGAGAAACTCGTGGGTGACTAGATGGGAAACCAAAGGGGCCCAAGGAATCAAGGGTACCGGAAGAACATTTACGGAAAGGGAGAGACGCCAGGGGCAATCAGGGACCAAACAACAAGAAATGGCCACCACCCCTTCGGCGCGCCCCGAAGGCGGAAGTCCACAGAGCCTGCTCCGCAGCGGGAGCAGCTGCTCGAGAAGGGGCTGTCAGGGAAACAAGACGTCCGGCGCCCGCCCTGGTCAGGCAGTCCCGCAGGCTAGCACAGCAGGGATCGCACATGCCAGGGTCTCCCCCTAGCTTCCCGCTTTGGGGACCCGCCTCCACAGAAAGCCACGCCCGCTCCATTTCTGTCCGGGCTCCGGGGCGGGGCTCGCCTGGGACTCCCGCCCTTGCCGTGCCCAGCGGAGGCCTGCCTGGCCCTTTAAGGCTGACCTAGCGGGGCCCCAAGTCGGAATGACGCGCGGGGAGGGGGTCACGTGGGCCGCCGGCGCGACTCTCGGCCCAGGGTGCCCCTCAGCCGCCGCTTGGGCCATCTCCGCACCGCCGCCAGGTGCGCCCCCAGCAGGCACGCCCTCCCCAGGTACGACTGGCCTGGGTGTCTCCCGCGGACGGGACCTGGCGGCCACTTTGGTTGCCTGGTGCTTTCTCTTCCTGACACGTGCTTTGGCGGGACTCGTCGCCTGGTGCGACCACTACCCCCTGCCGCCTGTCAATCCTCCTTGGTCTAGTGCCCCTGTGACTCTAGCTTGTCCCCCCGCCTGCAAAGCTTGGCCAGGCGTAGGGGTTCCGATGCCAGGGTGGGTTGGAAGGGCCTGGGTGGGACTCACTCTTGCCCCCCTTGCTCCCCAGGTGTCGCCGGACGTGCCAGGCTGGGGCTACCTCCGAGTGCCCCGCGGGGGCCATGGATGTCGAGACTGGAGAGGAGCTGGGGGGTTCTGGACCCGCACCAGGTGTGCCTGGCCCACCTGGCCAGGGTGGGGCTCCGGCCCTCGCAGGACGGCTGGAGCCCAAGAAGTATGCGGTGACAGACGACTACCAGTTGTCCAAGCAGGTGCTGGGCCTGGGTGTGAACGGCAAGGTGCTCGAGTGCTTCCACCGCCGCACTGGACAGAAGTGTGCCCTGAAGGTCAGTGCTCCCTCGCTGACGCCTGGTGGGCCCTGGATGAGAGGCCTGTGGGGGCACTGCTAGGTCCAGGGCTCCATGCCAAGCATCCAAAGCTTAGCTCACATCCTCAGTCCCTCCTATAAGGTGAAGCTCATGATCTTCCCTGTTTTACAAGTGGGGAGACTGAGGCTTAGCTAGCCAAGATCAGGGTGTCTGAGTGAGCCAGAGGTGGAGCCAGTGTGGGCAGAGCCATGGTACCCGGAAGCTGGGCAGGAGTGGCTCTCAGCTCTGTGGTGCTGGCAGGGCCTGTGTGTGAGGGCTGGAGGGGCTCTGCCTCAGCTGGCCTGCTCCTTCCCCAAGGAGCTCCTTGGAATTGGGGTGCAGTCCCTTCCTCCCTTGTGGCCTCCACCTTCCTGGGCTGGAGTGAAGTGAGCTTTCCAGGGCTAGTGGGTCAGAAGGGCTAATGGCATCCATGGGCTGAAGTTGCTCATAAATGCTGCTGAGTTGCTGGTCCCCTGTTGAAAGGGGCAGGTCCCGCTACACGCCTGACTACCCTTCCTGGGCAGCTGGTGGGTCAGTGGATCACCCGTGCAGCCACCAGGCCTGGCACACTGACACAGGTGGGATCAGGCAGTGGTTGTTGGAGTGGTTGATCTTGGTTCTGGTTCAAGGCCCACATTCCAGGTCCAGGACTTGTCCTCATACCTAGAATCCCTTGAATCTGTTATCACCAAGAACTTTGCTCACCTGTAGTTTGTGCTAGGGGCTGCCTGGATGGGGCAGATGGTGGCAGCAGGAGTGGAGTCTGAGGACAGCAGAGGGTATTCCTGTTTCATCAGATGCCATCGCAAGCCCAAGTGTAGAGTCCTCCCACCATGGCTCTCATCTCTGCCTGTGTTTGCCAGCTCTGTGACCTTGGATCACTTCCTCTCTTATGAAGGAAAGAGAAGTGGCTACTGTGAGCTTGAAATGAGATGTTGTGTGGAGTGCAGAGGACTTGTGCAGGGCTGGTACAGGCCTGGAGAGGTGACAGGACTTGCCTGGGGCCCAGGACCTGGGTCCAGCTCTCTGTTCATCTTAGAGTGGCCAGGCCTTGTGGGGGAGATCATCTCCCCAAGCTCGACCTGGAGGGGGTCGTGCAGGTGGGTCTAGAGAGTGACCTGGGCTGGGCTGTTGGAACAGAGCCCCAGATTTAACTGCTTGGTTAGTTCATGCTAATTCAGCAGCAGAATGGGGCTGGGGCTTTTCTGAGTCCTGTAAGGAAGAGGTGGGGGAGGAGTGAGAGGCTCCATGTACCACGAATGGAGGCGGATACTAGGGAATTGGGGGCGGGGTTCGAGCTCTTTGGTGCCCCTTCCACACAGACTCTTGTGGGGACACTTCTGAGGTGACATCTATATAGCTCTTCCTCAGGTCTGGGGCCTCCGTGCTCACCTTCTGCACCGGGAAGACATGAATGCAATGTGACCCCCCCTCACCTCGGCACGTTCCTGGTCTTGGTGCCGCCGATCTCCCCCTGCTCCAGGACCAAACCTAGAAGTTTTTGCCCAGGTGGGCAGGCCTCACTACCTTCAAAGATGGGGCCAGTGCAATCTCTGGCACAGTTATCATGCTTGTGAATGGTGACCATGGCCAGGAACAGGTGGCCAAGAGCTTCTGTCCCTGCCAGGAGGGCCAGAACCTGGGGACCTCAGCACAGGGGCAGCCAGCTCATGAGTGGGCCCTAGCCCCACTCTGTCTGATCAGCTCTCTCCACCGCTACCCTCTCTCTGCTGAGAGAAAGGTCATGGGCTCACAGGCTCTGTGTCCTTCACCTTCCCCAGAATGTGCCTGCCATTACTAGGCAGAACAGTCCTTGTCACCAGGGGTTGTTCAATCCACCTCTGTGCCTCTCCATGGCTGTCCTCTTTGGCCCCATGGCCAGAGATGGCAAATGGTGCTGAGCAGGAAGTCTGGGAAGCCACAGACATTCTTAAACAGGAAGCTCTGTGACCACTGTCCCTGTGGCTGTTGCTATTCTGTGGGGCCCTGCAGCAGCAGGCTTCTCCTGCCGGCCAGCCGGGCCTCTTTCCCTTTCCTGTGGCTCTGACCTCCAACTTGCCCCTTTTCGGCCTCCTTCACCCTTCGCAGCTCCTCTCTGGGACCACTATGTGCTGCTTCTCCCACTCTGTCTGCCCCAAGGGTCCCAAGTTTGCTATCCTGTTGGTAGGAGCTGGTGCTGCCTGCCATCATGGAGTCTTCGGTCACTTCTCCTTCCACTGACCTCTTCCTTGTGCCCAGTGCCAGACCCCACTTGGTGAATTGGCACCTGTCAGCACTACCTCTAAGTGGGAAGGCCTGTAGATCTGTTGTCCAGGTGTTACTGTACCATAGCCAAGACTCAGCTCTTCAAACATTATCACACACGTCGACATCTGAATTTGCCTTCCTTACTGCCTGTCCAGTCTGCTGTGGTCATCAGCTTCCTGGCAGTCAGGTGCGACCGGGATGTGTGGTACTTCTGAATGGAAAGCCCCCATCCCCTGCTCCCTGTGGGTGGACCCTTCCCCTCTGGCTGCTGAGTGTGTGGGAACCCTCTGGGTTCCCAGTGCTCTTCCCTCCTCTGCTAGGTGAGCGAGTGGTCGGATGGTGGGTGCACATGTGTAGGAGACCCCTGCAGTGGACAGCCTTCCCCTGGGCCCCTGGATCTGGGAGGCTGCAGGCACTGCCCTGCCCAGGATGGCTCACTTCCCCATGGGCCAGCTGACTGGTTTGAGCCAGGCTTCTCTTGTGCTCTACTCTGTAGCATATCATCGAAGGGAGTATACCTTCTGAATGGTGGGAAACGAGGCTCTGGAGACCCTGAGATCTCACCTCAGGTCCCACAGGGCACTTGGCTGAATGCATTTTGAGCCCCTCAGTGGTCTTCAAGGCTTCTGCAGTGCAGCCTCCCCTACCTTTTGTACTCCAGGTCATATCTTTCCTTCTGGTAAATCCCTTCCCATCCCATCTGTCAGCAGCACTCAGCCTCAGTGCCACCTCTTCCAGGAAGCTGTGTGGTATCCCTGGCTTTTTTGCGCAACATTTTGGGAAGCTTCTTTGACCCCTAAAGCTTAATAATCCCCTTTAACTTAAATTCCCTGGTGGCATTTGTGCCCAAAGTCTCTCCTGCCTTAGGGGCTCCTGATGCTCGTTAAAATATCCCTGCATTGGCTCCTCCCTGCTTTGGAAGGAGAGGTGGCAGCTGGGCCTTTGGTTCTCTTACTGTGCCACAGGAAAATGCTGTGGGACATGTAGCAGTTCCTCTGCCCTTGGACACAACTCCTGGGTAAGGTCTAGGGAGAAGGGCAATGCCCATTCTACTGCCCATGCCCACTGGCTGGATACCGGTATAACCAGGGTAGGTACAGAGAGGCTAGCTCCAGCCAGAATGAGGAGGAAGGCACAAAACCAGTCATTTGTGGAGTGGGGGACGTGGGATCCTGGTTGCCTTGCCCTGCCTTGGTGAGGGGCATAGGGACCCTGACTTCATGGGTGGGGTGAGGCTGGCACTGCCAAGCTGGATTTGAGGCCAGGTGGGGCTGCCTGGCAAGCCAGGACCTTTCACACTTGGCAGCTGCCACCCCCTCACCTCCCATTTCCAGACCGGTCCGATCAGCTGCTGCAGAGCCACTTCCAACTGAGTCACCCATCAAGAGGTACATTGGAGAGCTGGCAACTCTGTCCAATGGCAGCTTTGGGAACAGTTTCAATGTATCCCTGGTTCTCCCTGGGTCACCCCTCACCTGAAAGGAAAGAATATGAGAAACACGAGGGCTGGTAGGTGCAGGCCAGTTTGCTTTTTGCATGAGGATCCTGAGGAGGGCATCAAACCCCATGAAATGTGAATGGTGGCATTTTAGGTAGATGAGATGTTCTGGGATACTTCCTGTTGTTTCTGGCTGGCCTTGCCAGGGACTTTTGAAGCTAAGCTCACAACCTACTCCCAGGATCCCTTCTGCAAGGGGGATTCTGGTTCCAGTCTCATCTTATCCAGGAGCTGCTGCCAGCTCACCAGGGTTTGGGTCCTGGTGGTATGTTTTCTAGGCCCTGTCCTCAATGCACAGCATATGTTATCTAATTATTTTTCAAATTATTTTATTTATTTGAAAAAAATGTAGTTAGAGAGGGAAGGAGGGAGAACAAGAAAGAGTAATCTTCCATCCACTGATTCACTCCTCAGATGGCTGCAACAGCTAGGATAGATCAGATTGAAGGCAGGAACTTCTTCCAGGTCTTTCAGGAGGGTACATGGCCACAAGGACTTGGGCCATCTTCTGCAGCTTTTCCAGGCCCATTAGCAGGGAACTGGATCAGAAATGGAGTAGCCAAAACTTGAACTGACACTCATATGGTATGCTGGCATCACAGGTGGTTGCTTTACCCACTACACCACAGTGCTGGCCCAGCACCTATTAGTTGTTTGCATCTTTGGAGGAGGACACTGAGGTTCAGAGAGGTCAGTGGCATGCCCGAGGTGTACAGTTCATGGGTAGCAGCACTAGGATGCAAGCTTGAGCTGTGTGATATCAGAGTGTTAGCATCTGTGTCACTTGCATTTTATGGAAGTTGGGGCAGGACAGGGACCCTGAGACTTGAGCCCTGGAAGGATGTTGCTGTGTATCCGGGCCCCAAGCCATGCTGCCAGTGCTGGCTGACACCTGGCCAAATCTCTTTGTCGTCTGTGAACGGACAGGGGCTGGTCCCATAAGGTCAGCATACAAGGACTATCTTTGGTTGTATGGCTTGCCCCAGGCCTCATAACTTGCACACAAGTCCAGCCCAACTGAGTGCAGAGCACCACAGACGGGAAGTCAGACTGGTGAGTGGGTGAAGTGAAACTGTGTCTGGGCTGGGCCAACCAGGGGAGCCTTTCCTGGAAGACATTACCAGCTTTAGTCCAGAAGGCTGTGGGTGACAGCAGAGGGCACAGTGTGAGAGACAGTATGCCTAGTTTAGATGCTTGCTGCCTGTCGTGGAGTGACAGCCCCCCACCTGCAGGC